AGAGGAATGATCTTCGACATAAAGGAGGTTGCGGACAGTTTGATGTGGCAAGAGAACAGCATCATAGAGTAAGAAATCAGTAATATCAATCATGGCATGGACCATGACACCGTCGTTCCACACCTCCCAATGGTCAGAGGCATGTACAATAGCCATGTAATGGCCAGGCTATTGTCACATGATATCAGAGCGCCAAAGCGAAAGCAGAAAGAAAACAAGGAAAACAAGAAAAACTGAATTCGTTTTTAATCGTCTTCCTTACAACTCCCCCTGTTCAGAACCTCTTGCGTACAAGGCCGCCCACGCACCCCCGTGTCATATCGACCCACTTGCACACAGCCATATCGACCCACTTGCACACAGCCAAAAGGCAAAGAGGCAAAGAAAAGAGGAAGGGAACAGCCAAATAAAACAGAACAGGGGGCAACAAAACAGATCCCAGATGACAAGTCCCACATGCAAGCACCGCCCCTGCCCACAGGCCAAACGACGGGACAAGACCAACCAGGATGTCAAAACATTCTTGTCTGCAAAGAAATCAAAAGAAGTCCCAGATACGTATCTATACACAGCAGATGGCCTTGTTCGACATCAAGAAGTTGGTATTCCTATTCGGCGTCATCGTAAGCAATTCGATTCGTACCGGGACATCATAAAAAACAATCCTCGATGACGATTCCCACATAAAAGCACCGCCCCCATTGATAGGCCGAACAACGGGAAACAACCAACTAGGATACCAAAAAGAACTCGGAGGACCGGTATAAAAGACAATCCCGGATGACGATTCCCACATACAAGCACCACCCCGCGCTCAAAAGGCCGAACAACGGGAAACAACCAACCAGGATGCCAAGACAATAAAAAAAACCGGATGACTGGTCCCACATGAAGCACCGCTACCTGCTGACTAAATAGACCGAATAACGGGACAAAACCAACCGGGACGTATATGTATAGTCAAACAGAGCTGCCGACGGTAAACAGCAGGCAGAGAGGGAAGGAGAAAGGGAGAAGAGGACAACAAACGAGGGGCTGTGGCAAACTGTTTCGTCGGAGTTTTCACCGACTCATCAGGAGGCTGAACCCTCAACAGTCTGCAGAATCCCCTAACTGATTACACTGTAAGTGATAGATAATCCACCTTAACCACAGCCTGGCTGTGGTTAAGCATCACTGACTGCCCGACAACTGATACCCCTCTGAGGTGGTGGGGACCACCAACCACTGCCCTCAAGGTACCTGTGGCAAAAGTCAAAGCAGACTATCACTCACCCACACCAGATGGAAAACTCTACAGACTGTCGGTTCACACCCCATCACAAGCAAGCAAGCAAAACAAGATATGGTAGTCGCTGGTCTTTAACTGCAACTGGGGTAAATGTGAATTATCACTAACAGTATCATTGGTTAAGCGACTATGCAGACTGTAGAGGGTTCAGCCTCCTGACGAGTCGGTGAAACTCCAACCAACCAACAGTCTGTCACAGCCCCTTGTTTCTTGTCGTTCTGTTCCTATCTGCATGCAGTGGCCCAGGTAGTCCTCTATGTCATGATGCAATGACCTGCTAAGATGATAGATGGGTGACAGCGAGCAGCAGGCAACAACAGAACGGGGGCCTTGCTCCACTACATACTCACACCAGCACTTTCCTAAATGTGTCTGACTGGAATTACAGCCGGACCTGGATGAATTTGATTGCAATCACGTCCAGAGCTAAGTGAAAAGGTCCTAGTGTAGTGAGTATGCCCTCAGAAGGGGGAATGGCGGTGGAAGAGAGGATGGAAGATAGACGGGAAAGACAGAAGGAAGAGAGAGCGGAAGGGAAAGGGAAAGAGAGAGAGAAGGGGGGAAAAGAGGGGAAACAGCGCGGGAACAGCGGGGAAACAGTGGGGGAAGAGTGGGGAAAGACGGGTCGTAGTCAGAATCGAATGAGAGGTTGAGGAAAGAGTGAGGCGGGAGAAGAGAGCAGAAACAACGGGGAAAACGGCGGGGAAACGGCGGGGAAACGGCGGGGAAACGGCGGGGAAACGGCGGGGAAACGGCGGGGAAACGGCGGGGCAAACAGCGGGGGAAGAGTGGGGAAGGAGGGGTCGTAGTCAGAATCGGAATAAGCGGTTCAGGAAAGAGTGAGGCGGGGGAAGAGAGCAGAAACAACGGGGAAAACAGCGCGGAAAGAGGGAGGAAAGAGCGGGGAAACAGCGGGGAAACAGCGGGGAAACAATGGGGAAACAACGGGAAACAGCGCCGGAAGAGAGATCGCAGTCAGAATTGGAAGGAGCGGTTGAGGAAAGAGTGGAGTAGAGGGGGGAAAGAGAGGACGGGACAAGAGAGAGGGGAGGAGAGGGAGGGAACGACGGGGAAAGAAAGAGAAGGGGGAATGGAAGGTCAAAGAGTGGGGGGAAGAAGGGGGCCAGTAGCGGGGCACGAGCGGCGGAAGAGCGGCGGAAGAGCGGGCGAGGAGAAAGAGGAAGAGAGCGACGAAAAGGGAACGGATTC